GACACAAACAACACAAAATTAAGTCTTTCAGGTAATACATTCAAATTTGGTGTAAAAGTATGTGAGACAAATGAATGTGAAGCATCAATATCAATCAAAATATGTGTAAGGTGATTACAGATAGTGTATGTACCATATATCACGTATGGGTTGGATTCAACATCCTACTAAGTGAGATTGTAAGATTTGCCCTAGATAAGAGGTTTGGCCTAATTCTGATTACACAGGCACTCTCTCGCGTAGTGTTGAGCACTCTCATATATACGGTAGGTATTGTTGAGGCGATAGCAAGGTCAGTCCCCATGATCCTTGCAATAGTATTGGCAAGTCCTACCACATCCTGTTATTGGAGTCTGAGGAGGAGCCTGAGTGACTGACCTATATCTCTTGTTTTGCTAAACTGGTGCAGTGGGTGCTGATTTGCGGTGTGAAACTAGGGGTCTAAGATTTCTCACTGCAGGAGGAAAGATGCAAAGGTTCTTCTCCACTAGTTGTGCCTTGGCCAAAATGGCTGAGTAAGTACTGAGCTCAAATACGTACAGTTGTTGTCTAATATCAGGATAGAGGCCCCACTCGAACTTTCGTGCCTTCCTGCCTTCATCTATCATGTTCTCAGGAGAATACCAGCCCAACTCTAGAAACATTCGGGCATACTCCGACACAATCATATCTCCCTGAACTAGGTATAAAAACTTTATTTCCTTCAAATGCCGGAGGTGCTCTAAGAGATACTCTACATTGAAGGCATTTGAAAACTGTTCCCAAGTGACTAGAATGGGTAGGGTGGCCTGTTTGAGTTGCCATCAGCGACCTGCTTCTCCCACAAGCATGTAGGTGACAAGTACAACTTTCTGTTCGGGAACCATTCCAAGAGTTACGAATGCCTTCTCTATCTTAACTAATCAATACTCGGCCTCTTTAAAAGAGGATGCTCCTGCAAAGGTAGATGAGTTTAGTATTTTGTACCTTTTAATGTAGTCTGGGTCCATTATGAGTGGAACTGGGTTCTGTGAAAGAAGGATTGGATTGTGCTGAGGAGGGACTAGGTGGCACTGTGGTGGTGCCAGATGATACAGAAGAGGCATTGAGTTGTACTGTAGGGTGTCAGATGGGACGGTGGAGGAGCATGCTTGTACCCGGGTGGCTCC